TAGTATAAGAAAAATGTAAAAAAGCTCAATTTGGAGAAAATTGAAAAAGTAATTGACAACAAATATGAAATTGAGGAGTTAAATGAATTTGATTGAAAATATCATTAAAAATGAAAAGAAAATATTATTTATCGTTATTTGGCGAAACCAAACCTTTACTGGAAAACTGAACAAATTTTTAAAAAATTCGTTTATCAAAGTGGAAAAACTTTGCATCCTTTATAAGTAAAAATTAGGGTTGTTCCACAACGGAGGGATGATTTTACGGGGAAATTTTGATGAATCAAACAATTTGCGCTGCAGGCGAAAATTTTGGAAGAAAAATTTTGGAATTTTGGAAGAATTTTGGAAGACAAAAACGGGGAATTTTCACAGGGAATTGAAAATTCCCCGACTTTAGGGGACGAGGAACAACCCTACTAAAAATTCTGATTTTTTAGTATAATTATTTAACAATTTGGGTATTAAATATCTTGTTTAATTATTTATCAAAAAAAAATATAAATATTTTCTAAAAGTAAAAGGAAATCTTTTTAAACACAATTTATTTTTCATATCAAAATTTATCTCTCTAAAATACAAATTTAAAGTATAGGAGTTCCAAAAGCTATTTGTCTCTTTTCAATATCCAATTCATTAATCCCTCTAACAAATTTAAAAAATCCATTTAATTCTCCCCAATTACTTCCAAAAGAATTTATTCCAAGCCAATATTTTTGAAAACTTCCATCAGAACAAGTATAATTTCCATAACCAATTAAACGAACAGCATGCCCAATACAACCACTAATAGAGTCTCTACCTGCGCAGGGACTTTCTATATAATTGTAAATACCCGATTTGTAATTCTGAAAAAATATTTTTTAAACAAATTATTTGAAGAAAAAAATTATTTGAAGACAAAATGGGCGTTGATTAATAACAGGTTAATGAGAGATGGTGTATTGGGGCTCCAAAAATTTTTTAAACTTTTTGAAAATTGAGAGCATTCCTGAGTCGAGCAATTGCTCTATTGCTCTTATACAGATCCCCTTAGATAAATATTTTCCTTGACACAGATAATTAGTATTTCTACCTTATCAAATATCAGATTTTAAATACCTCAACAAAATCTCTGTGGAGCAAAAAGGAAGCACTGATTGATCCACCATTAAATATTGCTTCTTTCATTTCTTTTTCCCAAGTTTTTTGGCCTTTAGGCAAGTCTTTAGCATATAAAGCTCTGACATTTTTTGCTAAATATAATAATAGCATTAATCTTTTCCCAATTTATACCTTTTCTTTTGTCAAGTTCATATTCAAAAGTTTCATTTCCGTAAGCTGTATTTGAACAAATATCTTTACAGTTCTTTTTAAAGGCATATTGAGGTGTAGTTGTTGCCTCTTCAATTGGCGGAAATGGATATGGAATACATCCCCCCATTTGGAAATTATGTCCACTAACAACTCCAACTTTTTCAAACCACTGCCAAGCTAAACCTGATGACCCGCCAGTGCAGCTAAAATATATTTTTCAGAGAGTAAAAAATAATTTTAGTTTTGAGGATAAAATTATTTTTTGTTTAAATGGAGAAAAAATGATCGTAATTTTAGTTTGGAAGACTAACGCATCACGATTAGGAGAATCAGAACAGACAGCAGTATCATATGCAGAAGCAAAAAAAGAGTCTATCACTTCTATTGGAATTTTATTTTTAACCATTTCAATACATCTACGATCAGTATAAGTGGAAGTAGCCGAAACTGCCCAACAATCTTTACAAAGTGATTGGTCTCGAATATTGTTAATTCTTTTAAAAAATATTTTTTTGAATTTAAAATTATTAAAATTAATTACATTTCTTTACATTCTGGCCATTTATCTCGAATATCAAAAACATAATCGTTGCAAGTTATATTTGCTTAAAAAAGGATTTTTCTAAATCTAAACTCCAAATAATTTACTAGATTCCCCCTCATCATTTTCCAAAACAAATTTTTCAACAAATTTTAATTCAGGTTCAGTAACATTAGAAGGTTCTATTTTTGGAAGAGAACGAGCTTCTGCTTCTTCCATACCCGGAGGCAAAACATCCCCACCAAGCATTTCAATTTCTTCATCACTTAACAAAGCTAAATGTTCATTTATACCGCTCTAATAATTAAATTTAAAAAATTTTTTTTTAATTTAATTTTAAAACCTTCCATTTTCCTTTTAATCCTTTTACTTTTTCCTTTCCTTTACGTAATTTTGATAAATTTTTATTTTTTCGACCTAATCTTGTTTCTTTTTCAGATTTTCTTAAATTATTTCTTCCTTTAATTATTTTTGTTTTAATTTCCGATTCTTTTTGTTTTTCCTCATTTTCCAAATCTTTTTTCTTTTCATTTATTTTTGGATGATTTTTATTTTCTTCTTTTTTCTTCTCTTCATTTACTTCCTTTGTCGTTTCATTTTTTGGTTTTTCTTGTTTTTCTTCAAAAGAATTATTATTTTTAATTTCATCTGCTAATAAATTAATTAAATTTTTATTTTCATCTTTTTTGGGATTATTATTATCTTCTTTTTTAGATTCAACTTCGCTTCTCTCAGGTTTAATTTCTTTGTCAATAATTTCAGTTATGTTGTTAGTCTACATATAAGTAGATAATTTAATTTTTTTAATATTTTAAAATAAAGTCGGATCTCATTTTTAAATACTCCAAAAGAATTAGAAAAATCGTATTTAAAAACAAGGGGTAACTTAAATTGAGAATTATTTAATCAAAAAATTTTAGTCTATTCAATATTGAGTTTTTTGCTAAAATTTAATAAAAGTTTTTTTCATAAAAACCTCACAAAAATTGTTATCAAATAAAATTATGAATCAAATATGATTAAGTATAACCAAACTCAAACAGTATTTTGGGTAATAATATGTTCAATATTTACCTCTTCTTTTTGTTTAGTATGATGTTTTTTATTTTTATTTTCGTGATTATTAGCAGTTGTTAAAACAAAAATACAAATATTTAATAATAAAAAATAAAATAAAAATAAATTAATTGATTTTCTGACCATTACTAAAATAATAATATTTTTTTAAAAACAAAATAAAAATTCTTAAAAATCAGAGAAGAAAATGAATAAAAATTGTTATTATTATTTAGAAGAAACTTATTTTTATTTTTATCTTCCTCTAATAAATTTACCTTTTATTAATGTCGATTTTGTTGAAGGCCTTTCCTCTCATCATTCTCAAAGTTTAGTAACGCAACAAGTTTTTAAATATATAAATTATGCAGAAAATAAAGGGCGTTCTTTTTAATATACCGTTCCAGCAATATTAACACAATTTTCTTTAATAAAAAGTAAAAAAATAAATTTAAAAACAATTTAGTTAAATGGAAGGAATTATTTTAATTAAAAAATATGAAATGATTAGAAATAGACAATGCAATTGTTGATTAAAGTCTTGAATGAAAATATAATTTTGTAGGATTATACTGAACAATTCGGCATGCTCAAGATATTGAGGACAATCAAAGATGTTTAGAAGAAAACTAAAATTATTTTTTATTAAATAAATCATTAAACATAACTCTACACAAATTGTTTGAAAAGTGTCTAATACATATTAAGATTTAATAAATTTAAGCTTAATCAGAAGGAAATCACAAATCAGTATGAGATACTAAAAAAGCAATAAAAGAGTATACATTATCACTTTCAACATTTTTAACAATATCCACAACTATTTAATATTTATAAGATGGAAAAGCAAGAAAAATATGCTTAGGCCTTGTTTTATTAATGGAAATTTTGTAATAATTAGAACTTGATTTTAAAAATAAAATAATTGTTTTTATCTAAATTTTATAAATTTTCTACATAGAAATTTTTAAATTAAGAAAGTCTAGGATAAAATAAAATTATCAGAAAATTATGTAAAAGATTTCTTTTAAAAATTCAATCGAATTTATCAAGTAAGAACATAATAAACTCTTATATCCTCAAAACATATCCAAAATTTTGAATTATTAATTAAAATTAATATACCGTAAATTCTGAAATAATAATTACTCTCTCTCAAATAATTACTCTCAAATAATTACCCTCTAGTTTTTTACGCAAACTTTAAAAATATTTAAAAAATTATGATCGAATTTAGTTATTGGAAATCCAGAACCAAATCCAGAACATCTCTCTCTAATAATTACCCCCCCCCCCCTCCAGCGAGAGATTGAAACAATAATTACCCAGGGTAATTATTTCAACATTTAAGTTAGTTACAAATATCTTTAATAAAAATTTAAAATCCTAAATAATTCCAATTTACCTTTAAATATTTTTGTTTTTCATTTACCTTCAATTCTTTCAGAAAAACAACTAGTTTTGTTTTCTCACTTTCCTCTCTTTTATTTAAATAAATAATGGACCAAAGCGGAAACTTTTCTGGACTTTTTAAAAAGAATGTTAAAATATATCGGATGTTGTGGACAGTTAAAACATTATATTTTTTTTTGAAATGAATGAAAGAAAAAATGTCAAAAAATAAATAAATATATTTACTCTTTTGTTTTAAAATAAATAAAAACTTTTAATTTAATTTAATTTCTGTTAAAACTTCTGGCATATTTTCTTCAAAAACTTGTTTTTATTTATAAAAATGACCTGTAATAATCCCTTCTTATTTAGTCCTTCTTTTGGCCTAAAAAAGAACACAAAAGAATTTAATCGAAAAAGTACTTCTTGGACAGCAAATAAATAAAAATTTAGTAATATTTGTTTAAAAAAGGTTGTTGGAAGTTAATTCTATGGGATTAGACACCCCCATCCTTCCCCTACCCCCCCCCCCCCCCCAATCCCTCATCCTTACATATTCGCGCAATTACATTTACTATTACTTTTGTTGTCCTTTATTAAAGCTATAATTTTGTAATTGTTTTTTTTTCTAAAAATAGATTTTAATTTTTAATAATTATTTTTAATAAAATAAATTATATTAAATTAATTTAATATATAAAATTATTTTCAAAAAATGAACTCCAACAGAATTAACACTAATAACATTAAACAACAACAACAAATAATTGATGGACAACAATTAATTCAATCACGTTCAAGTATTTATTCTTCTGATGGCTTTTCTTGTTCATCTGACAGTTTACCTGCCCCTTTAATTTATCAAAGAAATTCTTCGAATATTGTAGAATTTGAACAAAATCAGCAAAATATTCACTTAAATCAAAACAATAATAGTCAAGTTCAAACAAATTTGGCTTGGGATACTTTTAGGTTATTACCTCCAGAACCTGATAAAAATAATAAAGGTGAATAGAATTTTAGACTTGTTACTTTTTTCATGCTTTAAAATTAAAAATTTCCTCTTAAATTTTTTCTTAATTTTTAAAAATTTAATTATTTAATCCCAACATTTTTTAAATTTAATTTTTAGCCAATTTATATATCATCTTTCTTCAAATACTCAAATTATTAACATTTTTTGTACTTTTTATTATCACACTTAGCAGCTCTATAATTTCTAAATTAATTTTGCTTGTAATGGCTGCAGGTTTAGGACAATCTGGTAAAAATATAAGTATTTGTCCTGACAAAATACCTGGTAAATTTTTGAAATTATTTTTATAATTTTATATATTATTTTTTAGAATCTACAGAAAATAGGGTTATTATTTCACCAAAAAATGCGGCAAAATGGGCTTGGGCCCTTCTATTGTCTTTATGTTTACCTGAGTAAATAAAATTATTTTTTAAATAATTTTTTTTAATTAAAAAAGATTATTTTGTTTTGCTCGTTCTCTACATCGAAGTATGTTCAGAAAAGTTAGAGGCCTTGCTTTTGCTCATTTTTTAATTGTTAGTATTTATTTTAATTAAATATTACGTAGGGTGGATTTTGAAAATAAATTTCAAAGGACTAATTAAGGTTGCGCCCCGATTCAAGCTAACTTTAACCGTTCAATCCCGACTCCGTAAGTCCAATTCCAACAAATCCTAACCTCGATTATCTATTAATTCTGAACTTTTAAAACCAAGTTAATAATTATGGTACTAGGAGAATGAACCTTCAAACGAAGTAGAGCTTTTCGCTTTCCCGCCTTCACCCCTCTCCCCTTCCAACCAGACAAAGCCCCAACTCCGGATCTGGTCGCTACCTTATGTTAAATTGTTAAAATAATTTAATTTTGAATTAATTTAATTTAAAATAATTTGTTTCAAGATGTTTACAGTAGAAAGTGCTCATGCATTTGGATTGGGTACCTTATCTTTTAGAATTATGCCAAATATTTCAGCCATTACCAGTACATATTCCTCTCAAAATTAAAAATTAAAAATATTTTCTTTTCAAGTTCTTCAATTAGCAAATTCTTTGTGTTTAATTCCTTCCATATTACTTTTATTTAGTCGACCTATTAATCGGTGGCTTCCATTATTTTTATTAATTGATACTAGTGCAATTTTTGCTCAATTAAGTGCTTTTATTTGGAAGAAATATTTTGTAAATTTTTTGAAAAAATATTAAAAGGAATAATTTACATAAACTTCTTTTAGCCGATTGACAATTTTATATTTTTATGTACTTTTTTAATTTCCATTACTTGGTGGCAGAATTTTATGCACCCAAAATCGTTTTTTCCGTTAACAAGATTTTTTGCTTATTATGCAACAAAAATACGTGAATGCCGTTCTAAGGCTTATTTGGTGAGAGAAATATTTTTAAAGTTTTTTGTCAAATACTTCCATTGTTCGGAAATGAGAGAAAAGTTTGGAGAAAATATTAGACTTTATTAATTTTAATAAATAAAATTTATAAATTAAAAATAAATATTTTATTTAAATTATTTATTTAAAAAGATAATTTCGCCATGGAAATGTTTAATTTTTACTTTTTGTATGTTTCAATTTGTTCCTTCAAATAATGTTTCAATTAATTATTTACTTCAAAAAGACCCCTTTGGAGAACATTTAATTACCATAAATGCCTATAATTTAAATCAAACACAATTAAATTTATTTCAAAAAAGAATGGAAGAATTACAAAGAATTAATGAGGGATATAGTAAATATCAACAACAAATATTAACCACAAAAATAAAATTAAATAGAAAAATTGTTGAAGAAATAAATGGATTAATTAATGGAACAAAAAATAATTTTAAAAATAAAAAAATAATTGTTGAAAGAAAAATTAAAGAAAAAATTAAAAGGGAAAGAAGAAAAGTTGAGAAAAAGGAGGATGAAGAAGAGGAAGATGTAGCTGCTTATAATGTTTGGAAATTTTTTAAAAGAAATTTAAAAGAGAAAACCCTTACCCTTATAAACAAATATGTTTTTGTGATAAAGAAAGGGTTTAGCGAAAGTTTAGCCACCGGGCAGGATTCCTTACGGACCTCGTAAGGATACGGACCTCGTACGGACCTTCTGGCAGTTATTGCTAGGCGCTTTCGCTCACCATATACGGGAGTATTTTTTCCATATACAGGAGCTCTACTACTGAGCTAGGCATCGACTAATACTTTCTTTTTTATCCTTTTGGATCGTTTAACCCCCGCCTAAGCGTTTTAAATGCTCTAGGTGAATCATCCTTATAATAGTTTGCGGATTTATTTGATGAAAAAATAAATCCACTAGAAATCCCTATATTCTTCAACATCTCCCGCAGCCATAGACTCCACAGCTTAATCGAATCCATTTATAAATTTCTGTTTTTTCTCCAGATTAAAAGGAACTCTAAAATATTTTTTGTCTAAACTTCTAGTTAAATTATTATAAAAAATTAAAGATTTATGAGGACCGTATAGAATTAAACCAATTTACAACAGCTTATGATGCCCTCTGGTTAGCGTTTATTCAAATCGGAAGTTCTTTAATTTGTCAATTAAGTGCTAAATTTGCTTGCAAAGTATTTACTCTATCCAATTATTTAATCATTTTTTTGAATCAAAAAAGGTTTTAATGCAAAGAATGGGGTTGGCACTTCCCGTGTTTTTGTCTGTTCCAATTAGTATAATATTACTTTCAAATTTTTGTCAAAAAAGAGCAAAAGATTCGTGTTATTTAAATGATTGGATAAGTAAGGAATTATTTTGGAAATGCCCTTCTAGGTAATTAAATTCTTTAAATTTAATTATAAAAATTATTTCTAGATCATTAACTTGGAATCGTTTTTGGAGAGAATTTCCAAACATTTTATGGTTGGGGTGGTGGTTATCACAATCTTGGTTTTTTGTTGTTTTTATTTATACTCCTTTTCTTATCAATTTTTAGGGTTACAATACACATTTGGTTTCCCAAACAAGAGAGATTAGCTAAATCTGACGAGTATTTTCCTTAAATTTTTTTATAAAAATCTTTAAAATTAGTTTGTTCCTCCTCGGCTATTTTGATGGAGTATTTCCTGAACAATCCATTTCTTTGGATCGGAGAAGGGACGATAAAATTCGAATTCGATCTGATGTAAATTAAAAATATTTTTTTAATTTTTAAAAAAATAAAAGGAGATTGAAACTGAAGATGAAGATGATGGAAATGGAAGTACACATACTTGTGAATCAGCTGCTTCTGGAAATTCTCCTAGGCCTACAGCTGGTTTAATTAATGCCACATCTGTTAGTAGTAGTATAAGCAATACTAGTCAAAGGTCAGATGGAGGATTAATAAGGTGAATAGGTAATTATTCTAAATGGCAAGTTGTCTAAGGATTTACAAGCAAAATTGCCTCCTAATAAGTACTTTCTAGTTGTTAAATATACTATCCACTACCACGCATCAAACTTAATTCTCTAGAAATTTATATTTATTGTCTTAATTGATCCATTAAATTATATGATTGCCTCACGTTGGAAAGCAATTTTATTTTTTATAATTAAGGGAGTTACCAAGTAGCGCCGATACTATTTGTAAAATTTATGTTTGCGCAACTATGTGGCACGAAAGTGCATTGGAAATGGGTTGTATGTTAAAATCTATTTTTCGACTTGACGAGGTAATAAAAACTCATCAAATAATTTTTTAATTTTGTTTAAAACAGGATCAATGTGCACGTAGAAATGCTCAACGTTATTTGAAGGTAAAAAATATTTTTATATATAAAATTCAATTAATTTAGATTGTAGACCCTGATTATTATGAATTTGAAGCACATATTTATTTAGATGATGCTTTTGAATTAAATGAACATAATAATCCAATACCTAATAAATTTGTTCATCAGTTACTTGGAAGTATGAATGAAGCTGCCTCGTTAGTTTTTTAAAATGAAGTTGAGAAAATAATATTTTTTAATTAAAGTTCTGTACATCAAACACAACTTCAACTACGTACACCCAAAATTTGTATTACCCCCTATGGAGGTAGAATTAGCTATGTTTTGCCTGGACGAAATAGACTTTCTATTCATCTTAAAAATAGGTAATTAATTAATTATAGGGAAATAATTATTTTTTAACTTTCTAGGTTCCTTATTAGACAAAGAAAACGTTGGAGCCAAGTAAGTTTTTGTTTCTAATAAACATCTAGCTACAAAAATTTAGGTTATGTATCTTTATTTTCTTCTTGGATTTCGTCTCACTCTTCGTGTTAGTGACAATAAAAGGAGAGAATTACTTGCAGAAAATACTGTAGGCTATTTTAAAATATCAAACAATTAGCATAAATAATTTGGGGTTATTAATTAGATTATAATATTAGTATGTATTTAAATTACACCTAAAGGATGATCTTAAGGATTACCAAGAAATTTTAAAATATAAATTTATAATTTGATCTAATAATATAAATTTTTTGGTCCATTTGCACAATTTTTATCTAAACTTAAGAAAGAATGCTTAATTCTAAATACTATTTTTTGCGCTAAAATATGTAGAGCTGTCCAATACCGATAGCTTCTATCAAATATTCGAGACAAATTTTGTGTCCCAAAAGTTCTAAGCTTTACATTTCCTTGTAGCTTGTAATTTTTTAAAGTTTATATTAACATTGGACGGCGATGTTGATTTCCAACCAGAATGTGTACATTTGTTAGTTGATTTAATGAGGAAAAATCGTCGATTAGGTGCTGCTTGTGGTCGTATCCATCCTCGTGGTTCTGGTAAAATGAATAAATTTTTCTGATTATTTCTTAAAAAGGAATAATGATTTGGTATCAAAAATTTGAATATGCCGTTGGGCATTGGTTACAAAAAGCTACAGAGCACATGATTGGGTAGTTAAATATCTAATTTAGGAATTAAATTAATTAAAAGTTGTGTTCTTTGTTCTCCTGGCTGTTTTTCACTTTTTCGTTCATCTGCTTTAATTGATGATAATGTGGCGCGTAAATATGCAACTAAAGTTTTTATAAATATGTATATTTTATTTTTATTAATTAATTAAAAGTCTGAAAAGCCTTTCCACTATGTTCAATATGATCAAGGAGAGGATCGCTGGTTATGTACTTTACTTCTTCAACGAGGCTATCGGTTATTTGATTTTAAATTGAAAATTAGAGTTTGATTTTATCGAACAAAACTCATCGAGTTTTCTCTCCAGTCTATAATTAGTAGTACTACTTTATTTGTGATTTTGACAACTCCTATTACGCATAGATTCTGGTAATCTAATCATAAATTACTGCTTTTCTAATTTAGACACTAATCTAAAAGATAAGAGATTGAGGTATTTGTATGTACAGTATATGCCCTCTCAAATAATTACCCCTCCTTCTAATTACCCTCTCCAGCGAGAGATCGAAACAATAATTACCCAGGGTAATTATTTCAGCGCTATGTAGACTTTTCTAAGAATTTGGCAGAAAACTCTAATTTTCTAATTTACATATTTTAAAGAGTTGAATATTGTGCAGCCTCAGATGCCTTAACTTTTGCACCAGAAGGTTTTAAAGAATTTTTCAATCAGCGTAGAAGATGGATTCCCTCTACAATGGCTAATATAATTGATTTACTTCAAGACTACAAAAATGTTATTAAAGTTAATGATTCTGTGTCTATTTGGTACATTGCTTATCAATTAGTTATGTTATTCTCTTCGGTTTTGGGACCTGGAACTATTTTCTTAATGGTAAAATTAAAATAAATATTTTGTAAATTTAAACTTAGATTGTTGGGGCTATTTCTATTTCTTTTAATGTTGATACTCGGTTGGCTTTATTAATTGTTACAACACCTGTTGTGTGTTTTTGTATTTGTTGTTTGACTTGTAGTACTGACATTCAGGTTGTTAACTTTGAATTAACAAATGAGACTTCTTAATCCACATCCCCTTTTGGTGGATATATTTAATTATATTATTGGCTGTACTTTAGCCGGTGGCCCACTCAGAAACGGGATAAATTATATACCATTCGATTCGTCTCGGCGAGCTGAGTCGAATGGTACCATTCTTTTTTTGCGGAAATGCCTATGAGCCGAGATATAGGTCCTTGAAAACCGAAAAACCATAGGGGGGAGTAAGCACAATTTTGGAGTGAAAAATTCAAATATGCAAATGATAGCTCATTCGAAAGATCTCCTCGAGCTGAGTCGAATGACATCAAAATCAGCGAAATCCGACTTGATTTGACAAAGTTATGAGCATTAGTTTTAGCTCCTTACCTTTGGTCTACGTGCAGGTTTCTGTTGCTAGGGAGGAAGCCAGACATGCCGATCGCAGCTAAAATAGGCATAAGTTTATGTTACGAGCCCAGACCCAGCGCCCGTAGACTCCCCGCGAGGCGCGTGCCGCAAAACCCCGCACGAAGCGCGGGGTTTTGCACAAGCGCCTCGCCGACGCCCCATAGGTTTATGTTGATTGTTTTTTGTGTTGTAACTTTGTCTAAACTTGTTCAATCACGGTGATTTTGGTGTTATTCGACTCAGCTCGAGGAGCTCTTTCGAATGAGCTATCATTTGCATATTTGAATTTTTCACTCCAACGGCGCGCTGGGTCTGGGCTCTACGGGCGCTGGGTCTGGGCTCGTAACATAAACTTATGCCTATTTTAGCTGCGATCGGCATGTCTGGCTTCCTCCCTAGCAACAGAAACCTGCACGTAGACCAAAGGTAAGGAGCTAAAACTAATGCTCATAACTTTGTCAAATCAAGTCGGATTTCGCTGATTTTGATGTCATTCGACTCAGCTCGAGGAGATCTTTCGAATGAGCTATCATTTGCATATTTGAATTTTTCACTCCAAAATTGTGCTTACTCCCCCCTATGGTTTTTCGGTTTTCAAGGACCTATATCTCGGCTCATAGGCATTTCCGCAAAAAAAGAATGGTACCATTCGACTCAGCTCGCCGAGACGAATCGAATGGTATATAATTTATCCCGTTTCTGAGTGGGCCACCGGCTAAAGTATATCCATATTATTATACCTTTATCACTTTAGTTAACCTTAAAATTTATCCAAAACTTTTATTAAAAATATACATATTATTTATACTAGCTATTATTGGCACAAATAATTGGAGCACTTTTTGCAATGTTAATGACTGCAGTAATTGTGGGAACTTCACTACAAATTCAAAAAGATGGAATTCTCTCCCCTCATTCAATATTTTTGTTTACAGTTTTAGGCAGTTGGACATTTTCTGCTCTTTTACATCCACTTGAATTTTTATGCCTTTTACCTTGTGGACTTTATTTTTTGGCAATTCCTTGCATGTAAAATATATATTTAGTTAATTAAAAATCTAGAAATGACTGCATTCTCTCAAAAGTTTTCATTCTCCTTTGGAATTCGTTAAAAGATTTTTAACTTAAAATTCAAAAAGGGGTACACCACGATATACCGCGAGCCCAGTATAGCGCCGAACTATAACTTCGTTCAATATTGTAGAATCCGAGAGGCCTTGGTATAGTTTGAGTCAGCTCGTCGAGCCGCATCAAATCATAACATAGCGTCCCGGATTCGACAATCTTGAATGAGGTTATAGCTTGGCGGGATACTGGGCTCGCGATATATCGGCCTGCTCCCTTAAAAAAGCTAAAAAATTATTTTAAATTTTCATTAAAATTAAAAAAAATCAAAGTTTATTTTAGGTACATGTTGTTACCAATTTATTCACTTTGTAATTTAAATACAGTCAGCTGGGGAACTCGTGAGAATAATACAGTTTCTGGTTATTTATCTAAATTATTTAAAGATTTATTTTATTTTTTAGAAAAAAATAAGAACAAAATCCATTTAATTAAAGAAAAAAATGGTAATAAATTTAACAAAAATTTATAAAAGAAATTTTTTTGTAAAAAATGTTTAGGAGAGATTTCTATGGGTTGTGGGAATTTCTGTCGAATTGTTTGTTGTGTTCAAAATTCTGAAAATTCCCAAGAACCTTTAGAAGTTCGCCGTCTTGGAGAAGGACTTAAAATTATTGAAAAGAAATTGGATAGTCTTGATAGAAAAAGTAAAAATGAAAATATTAAAATTGAAAATGAAAGGGAAGAAGAAAATAAAAAGGAAGAAGAAAAAGTTAAAGAAATGGACTTTAAAAGATGGATTGAATTAAAACCTTTTAATAGGTTTTTAAACGAAAATTTGTTGATAATTTAATTTAAAATATTAAGTTTTGAACCTGCTGTTTTAAATCCAGATGAAGAATCTTTTTGGCAGGAAATGATTGATAAATATTTGAAACCTATTTATTCAGATTCTCAAGAACAAGGTTATTGGACACTTTATTTTGCAAAATAGTTAATCGGGGTGGATATCCAGCTCACTTTCTAGCTTTCGAAAATTAGTACTCTCGTGTTATATGCCCGCATTTTTCTTTTTTCCTGCTCAGTCAGCTATAACTTTTTTATGCTTAATCCAAATTCGAATGAACCTTATATATATCATCTGAAAGCTCTCGCTATCTTTTTTCGAACTTTTGCGGATAAGTAGATTACCCTTTTCTGGACACTTTATAGAAACCCAAAGAACATTTGACAAATATAAATTTATAATTTAAATATTTAGAAAGGATACAGCAAGGCCTTAATGAACTTAGAAATAATGTAAATTTTATTTAAAAAACATGTTTTGTAAATAAATATTAAAGTGTTGTTCGGCCTTTTTTATGGTTAACAGTGTATTTATTATTGTTGTTTTAATACTTCAATTACAAAAAGATTGTTTGCATATTGGTGCTTTTTAAATAAAATTGAAAAGTATTTTTTTTAAATTAAGAATGGCCTCTTGGCCCGTTAGTTAATCAAACACGAGTTCAATGTGGAGGTGGTGGTGGTGATTTTGACCCAGAGGGGGAAGAGTGGGTAATGAGCAGATTGCAATTAGAGCCAATGGGATTTGTTTTTATTGTCTTCTTTCTTGTTATACTTTTTATACAGGTAAAGTTGCCTGTCCTAAATATTTCATTAGACCTTGTATGTATTATACTTAAAATTATTCATAATTGTAGTATTTTTTGTGGGAGTAACTCTTTCAAATCCCCCCGCCATCGATCACTCAGAATTTCGAATCACTTTTAATTTCAAAATAATTTTTTCCTAAAAAAGTTTCTTGCCATGCTCTTCCATCGTTTTGGTACAATTACCCATATAATTGCCTCTACTGAACTTTGTTGTTCTCAACAAACTTTTGATAAACTTAGTGAGGATGAATTAGTAGCTCATAATGCTGTTGAGATTGCTAGGTAATTAAAATTATTTTAAAGGAAATATGCCGTTTTTTGTTAAAGAATTTTGTGAAATTAATTTTTAAAATTTATTTAAATATTTAATATCATTAATTAGTGAAAATAAAAAATAAATTTTAATTTTTTTCAGAGAACTTCAATCATTTAAAGGTCTAAATATAAATATACCACAACAACAACAAAATACTAACATAACTCAACAACAAAAATATTTTGTACAACCAAATCAACAACAATTCCAACAACAACAGAATCAAATATTTAATATTAATTTACACCAACAACAATTACCAACAACATCCTCCAATTTAAATAATAAAATGGATACTTTGGATGCTGCTTTTAAAAAAAGATTTTTTGCTTTATCAACAACAAATAATCAACAACAAAAACAAATTATTGGAAATAAAAGTTTTGGAAGAAATTTTACTTTAAGGAAAAGAACATTGAGAGCAATTGAACAAAGAGGAGGGGGAGGGGGAAATGTTTGGAAATTTTTTTATATTAAAGAAAATTTTTAATTTTTAGCTAAGAATTTCAAAAAATCCAAATATTCTTCAATCATTTTCTGACAGTGAAGAGGAAGGGGTATTTGAAGTAAATAAAAAACAAAGAAATGAAGGCCCAGCAAGATGTCATCAATTAGAAGAACTTTTTAGAAAAAATAATAAAAAAGGGCCGAATAATAAAGTAATTAGGGGAAATGGAAAAAATAAAAAAATATCTTGGAATGAATAAAATGTTTTTCTTGTTTATTTTTAAAGTATAGTATTTTAATAAAAAAATAAAGTACATATATTAATTTGATTAAGATGGGGGATAAAGTTCTAGAGGACAACAAAAACTAATCATAAAATTAATTTATCAAATTAATTAATTACACACTTTATTTAAATTTAAAGAATATTTAATTTTAATCAAAATTTTATTTAACCAAAATAAATTATTTTCTTTTTCACAACTATCTTATAAAAATATTTCTTCATTCATTTCCTTCTCAATATGGCCAAGATCCATAAGGGTATGGATAAAGAGACGATGGCGGTTCTGAACTAGCCCTTTTGTCCTTCACAATTCGGTCACTATCTATTTTCTTATTTTCAATTTGAATGTCCACATCAGTTGAGAAATTTGTGGTAGTCGACTTGTTACTGATTTCTTTAAAGAATTTTTTATTTAAATTTTGGATATTTTTAATTAAAAATAAAAAAAATAAAATTAATTCTCTTTAATTCCCCTAAATCTTTCTATACACCTTTCGAGTTCATTAAATGTTAATTAAAAATTTAATTAATTCCTTAATTCATTAACTATTCAATTTTAAATAAAAATTTCTTACCAATTTCTAGAGGCATTTAAATATTTTTAGAGAATTTTGTTAAATTAATAATATAAAAAATATCTAAAAATTAAATTAAAAAAGATAAGCAAAAACAAATTTATTAACAGATAGTATTTACTTAAATAAATATATCTTTGTATTCATTCTGCAAAAAAATAACTTCCTTTTTTTATAAAAGTAAATATGTTGATGTATAGAATTTTTTATTTATCAAGAAAACACAAAGTATGAGCTAAACTAGCCGTGTTAAATAAATAAAAAATTTAAATTTAGAAAAAATGTCAAAAATAAAAATATAAAAAATGTAATAAATTAAGAAAAAAGATCTTTTTTAAATGTCTGGGTGGTGATATAAAATGATAATTTAACATTTTTAATTTATAAATTTTAAAAATTTAGAACTTTAAAAAATTATTTTGATGTATTAATAAATATAAACAAAATATTTTTTACAACCATTATATATTTGGAGTAAATTTTGGATAAGATAATTTTGTTTTCTTTAAATTTAAAAAAAATTTCTAAATATTTTATTTTAAAATAATTATAAAATTATTCTTTTCCTTCATTAATTTCTAGAGAATAACAAGAAATAATTATAAATTAATTTATTTAAATTAAAAAAATATTTTTTAATCAAAATTATAATTTCGTCAAATTAAATTATTTTTTTTTTACAACCATCTTATAAAATATTTTTCCATTCATTTCCTTCTCAATATGGCCAAGATCCATACGGGTATGGGTAAATAGATGTCGGTTCTGTATTAGCCTTTTTGTCCTTTACAATTTGGTTACCTTCAATTTTTTCACTTTGAATACCCCCAGCATTTGAAGAATTTATGGTAGTCGACTTGTTAGTGATTTCTTTAAAATAAAAAATATAAAACAAATTTTTAAAATTTTTTTATACTTCATTATTAATATTTAAGTTTAAATAAAAAATTATTACCAATTTCAGTTGAAGGCATTTAAATATTTTTAGTTAATAAAATAATTTAAAAAATATTTATCTAAAAAATACTTTAAATTTAAAAAATAAATAAATAATCTATGTATTTATAATGAATTATTTTATCTATATTTATCTATATTTAAATAAAATCTTTGTAGTCATTTAGCGAAAATTATTTCCTTTTTTTTCATCTCATGCTCACAATAATCAATCAAAAATAACAAAAATATATTTTATAGTTTTATCATTAAAAAATCAAAAATTATGCTGATGTTTAAAATTGAAGAAAATAATAATTGTTTATGTAATTAAAATAAAAATAATTTTGGAGGATTTTTAAAATTAAAGTATTTTCTCTTCACAACATTTATAAAAATAATATTTTATAGTAAAATTCTGAATAAAATACCAAATTGATTTTAAAGTAATTTTACAATTTTTTAAAAATAATTATTAAATTAATAATTATTCTTGATCATCATTTTTACAAACGAGTGTATATTAAAATAAATATGTATAGTAATACTTAAAATACTAAAGGAGGTCCAAAGTACGTTATTTAATTAAAATGAAAAATTAAATATTTTATTATTTTAATTAAAATATTTAAAAGAAAAAAAAACGATTAAAGAGCAGTCTTCTTAAAAATGTCAGTACAAAAGTTTAAAGTTTTAAATTCGAAAATTAAATTGGCTTTTGTAACGTCGAAAATAAACTGTTAATTTAATTTAAAAAAGGTGATTTGATGCTATATTTGTACTCATTTTCAAAAAAATTACCGGCATTTATACATACTCCTTCATTGTGTCAAGACAATAATATCACATCACATTCAATCACAGGACACCATTGACGAAAATAATGGAAGTAGTTCGAAACTTGTCAAGAAATACACAATTCCTAAACTAGGTTAGAAATAAATTGGACATGTAAAGGTTGATTGGACGTATAAACTGGACTTGAGGCAAATCACCTTCAGATATTAATTAATAATTTTTTTTATTTTCAATAAAATACCTGCAAACATTTGTGTAAATATAAACATAACTATAATTGATTAATTATTTTCCTATATATTTTGGATTGAACATTCCTGCACAGCATGGAACGTCCTTACCTTTTTTGCTTTTTCTATATTTTGTAAAATTTATCTAGAAAATTAACCCAGAAACTTTTTTTCATTTTAAATGATTAAGAATATTTTGACCATCCCAACAACAAAAAGTATTTCTCTTTGTAATTATTTCTCTATCTGGAATAATAATAAATTATGTAAATCATCATTATTTTATTTTCAAAGAAAATATCATTCATTGAACAATGAAGAATTTTTAAAAAAGTTTTTTTGTATTGAGAAGGAAGTACAAAATGCTTTATTTGAGAGAAAGCCCATTGTAGCTTTGGAAAGTGCTTTAATTACCAATGGATTAGAATATCCTATTAATCTTGAGTTTGTTTTTTGAAAGGGGTTTTGTAATAATTGAAGCTATAACTAATCTAAAAATAATCCAATTTCTTGTCTAAAAATTATACGCCGTTACTCAAAAAATTTAAATTAACAAAAAATATATTTTGCAGAGTTGCACTTAAACTGCAGGAAATTATTCGTAATAATGGTGCAGTCCCTGCCACAATTACAATACTTGATGGAAAAATAAGAGTTGGAATTGAAAATAAAGAATTGGAAAGAATTGCCGAGCCGAATAATCAAAAATGTTCTTTAAGAGATTTGGCAAATTTCCTCGTCCAGAAGGTGAAAATGATTAACATGTTTTTTCTCATAGAATTTCCAACCTCTAGAAGATTGGTGGCACAACAGTTGCCGCAACAATGTGGATTGCACATCAAGCTGGGATCAAAGTTTTTAGTACTGGAGGAATTGGTGGAGTACATAGAGGAGGGGAAAAATGTAAGGGAAAAATATATTCTCAAAGTTCCTTTTTTAAAGCATTAGACATAAGTGCTGATTTGGTAGAACTAGGTCGTTGTCCTATAGCTATTGTTTGTGCTGGTGTTAAATCTATTTTAGACATTGGTAGAACATTAGAATTCTTAGTTTGTTTTCTGAGTTATAATTTTTTTTAAATCCAAATTTAAATAGGAAACACAAGGTGTAAATGTTCTTGTTTTCGACAAAAAACCAAACTTTCCCGGCTTTTTCATACCTCAAACAGAGTTTCTGGCACCACATTGCACTGCCTCAATAGAAGAAATATCTGACATAATTGGTTAAAAACATAATTATTTTTTTATAATTTTTTTATAAAAAGTTTGTTCTCAACAATTGGGTCTACAAAAAGGTATTTTGATTGCCTGTCCAATCCCTGTTGAAGATAAATCCAAAACAGAATTAGTTCAGCATTCTATTAGTCAAGCATTGAATGAAGCTAATTTAAAAAATATTTTTGGAAATAAAGTAACTCCATTTGTACTTAAAAGAGTTGCAGAATTGAGTAAAGGAGAAAGTTTAAGACTTAGTAAGTTAATAATAATAAAAAATATATTTTTACACTCAATTATTTTTAGATATTTCTCTATTAGAAAATAATGCAAGAATAGCTTCCCAATTAGCTAATTTATATACAAATAAAATTAAAAATACCCCTAAAACGATGGAAGATGAAGATAAAATATTTGTTTCCTCCCAAATAAAAAATACTAAAAATGAGAAACCTTTAGTTGTGAGTAGTAAATATAATTAATTACTAATTTAAAATTAAAAAATTATTTAAAAGTTTTGTATTGGTGCTTCTATTGTTGATTTAGAAGTATTACAAAAAGAAAATTTTAAAAATTCTCCAAAAGTTGATATTTCCTCTTATTTGCCTTCAAATATTGTACAAAGAGCAGGAGGTGTTGCTCGCAATCATGCAGAGGCTCTTGCTCGTTTAGGAATTGATGTTGTTTTATTTTCTGCTTTTGGCACAGATTTAAATGGAAAGGCTGACTTTGGAGCTAATTTTCTTTTAAAAAAATTGGAGGGATTAAAAAACTTGGTTTTTTAAAAAAATAATTTAAATAAATCTTTAATTTAAAAAAAGAATTTCTCTCATTCATTATTTTGTAAATATTTGGGGACAGCTACTTTTATTTCAATTAGCAATTCCTCTAAAGTAAAAGTTTGATATCTGAAGAATATTTTAATTCAAATTTAGGGAATTATACAAGGATTTATTTCTGCAGACGAACTTCTAAGCAAAATTGATTCTGAATATGTAAATATAATTTAAATTTATTAAAATAATATTTTCAGGCTCCCTCGGATAATTACTTTCATTTAAATAATTTTGAGTTCAATTTCCTCTTTTTCCTCCTTCAAATAGTTCGCTCCGCCACCAAAACTAATTTTTTAAATGTTTAGCCGGTAATATTTCGGCTGACGCTCCCTCCCATCGTTTCTGGTTTCCCTTACCATTATGAGCTTTTGTGCCACCTCTTGTCTTTAAAAATTTAATTTTTAGATTGATAAAATTTCCAACTTATTTGAATCTGCCGATTTTCTTTTAATTGATGCCAATTTAACCTCTGAAGCTATTAAAAGAATTAATTATTGGGCAACCAAAACAAACACAAAAAGTTAATTAATAATAAAATTATATTAACAAATCTTTTCTTAAAGTTTGGTTAGAACCAACAAATTCTTTAAAAATACCTAAAATATTTGATGCTTTGGGAGATTGGCCACTAACCAAAATAGACATTTTCTCTCCAAATTTAGATGAATTACGCTCATTTTCTGAGAATTTTAGTCAAAGGGTTGGAAAAGGTGAAGCAAAAGAATGCAAGGACTTTATTAAAAATATAGAGGGTATTAAATTAATTTTTTTCCAAATATTTAATGCACATTAATAATATTAAGAGATCCCCACTCTTGGGACTAAAAAATTGTATAAGGTTCTCGGGTATTGCATAGGATTCCCCACTCATTCAGTAGCCATATACGAAAATTTATGTGAATATATCTTGAGATAAACTATAAGGAAGTCCCCAACTACATGTATCCAACTAAGAGGCCCCCCTTCCAACTACATGAATATATCCAACTAAATCAAAATTTCTAAATTATCTAGAAAGGACTTTAATTAATTTTTTCATTTTGGGACTTCATTTTAATAATTAGAAAAAATTATTATTATTTAATAATTTCCCTATTTTTATTTAGAACATCTCCTAAATTCAACAATTGACTCCAACTTCCATCAAAAAATTTCCAATATAAAATTACCCCAAGCATTTCAACCAAAACAACATTTACTAATTACTTGTGATCGTTTTGGTGTTTTACTTTTTTCCCGTTCAAATAATAATGAATTTAAAATTGAATATTTGGATGCTCCAAAAATCTGTTCAGAAAAATTAATTTCAGTGTCCGGTGCTGGAGATTGGTAAAAAGAAAAGAAAATTATTTTTAAAATAATTTTTTAAATTAATTTTAGCTTCAATAGTGGATTTCTTTTTGGAATTTTAAACAATTTAAATTTAAAAGAAAGTCTTGAATTTGGTAGAAAATGTGCTGAATTAAGCTTGATTAGTATAGATACTGTGCCAGAAACAATTAATAAAGATATATTTAAAGTCTAAAATATTTAATTTATAATAATAAACAAAAAATGTCCTATTCCTTTCCAGGCTTTCAATTTTCTGATGAAAAGTAAAGTTAACAAAATAATCCGAGTTTCCGAACTTCTCCCCAAATTTTAATTTTATTTTTGACAACTCTAATTAACGTTGGATTCAGAATTTCTAAACACAACTTATTTTAAATATTTTAAACGATTTATTTAATTTAAACGTTAATCATAAGATTCCCTAAATGGGAAAAATCGTTAAACATTATGATTTATTAATCAATATATCTTATATACATATGTATTAATGCCATATCCCACTCTTAATTTTAAATTAAATTTAAAAAATTTAAAAAATTAAAATTAAAAAAAATTATGTGTTAAATTTATTTTTTTTAATATTCATTCAAAAACAATTTAAATGTTGTTCAAAATTATTATTTTAAGTCTTTTATTATTTAATTTAAAAAATTATTGTTTAGGAGGTAATTGTTATTTATCATTACTTTGAATAAAAATTTAATTATTAGATAGAAACAATTCAAGCGATAAGAAAAAATCAGATAATATACAGCCGGCAATTTGTGGAGTTCCTCCTTATGGCGGGGAAAAAGAATTTTTGCCCGATGCCCAATTATTCAGTAATAATTTATTGAAAATTGAGGATTCCGAGTTATTTGATATTTTTGTGCCTCTTATAAACTTACAAAGAAGGACAATACTCGGAGATTTTTGTGAAAGAATTTTGGGAATTTATGACAAAGAAAATTATTTTCAAAATTGTTTAGATAAATTATTTCCTATAAAATCAGAAGGAGAAGAAACTGAAAAGGATAAGAAAATTTATCTTCCTTTACTATTTAGAGAATTATTTGTTGCAATGTTTGAATCGCCACCATTACTAGAAGCGATTTACTTAAATCGGTCAGCAATAAGTAGAAACCGGGCCGAGACGAGATCTCGATTCTCATACAATACTCCCAGTCCGGTCTCTAGTAATAATACATATCACTGTCCAAACTACATTTTAGGACAAATAGTATTTAGCCGGCAAAATCACATTCATTTATAGAATCGGAGTAGGGTTCCGTAACAGTTCTTCATGTCCAGAACCTACACCCACTTGGTCTGGGACCGTTAGTTACCATATTTCTCGAAATTAACGGTCCCAAACCATATGAGCGTAGGTCATATGGTTCACCGATCTCCAACTGTTAACTCTAGAAAAATTAAATTCGTTAAAACGTAATTTTTGGATTAAAATGTAATTTTATCGGTCAGCAATAAGTCGAAAACTGACCGAGACAAGATTTCGATAGGAAATTACATATATCACAATTATTTTAGACAAATAATTAAAGCAAGAGAGAGTAAAGAGTATATTGATATGGATACAATTTTTGAAGTAATTCTAACAAATTCAAAAAAGTTATTTGATGAAATTTGTCAAATATACATAAAATATTTTGGAAAAGATTTATTAGAGGAAATTAAAGAAATGACTAAAAAAGAAACTTTAAAAATATATTTTCTGAAGAATAAAAAGTCTGTTAAATTAATTGCGACGAAAGATTTGAAAACATTTTTATATAAAATTGCAGAAGATTTGAGAGGAGATAAAGAGCCGATTGATGTGCTTAATGAGGTTTGTAGATTTGTTTTTTCTAAAGGAACAAAGGACGGTTGGGACAGGAGACATGAAATAAAGGAAGGTCTGGAAGGTTTTGAGTACTCAAATTTCTTCTCCTCCTTAAGAGGGGGACTCCGATTTTTATTACAAAAATTTAATTTAAATCTTCGAAATTAAGATAAGCCAGCAATTTTATGCTGCAAATAAAAAATCAAAAAGTTTCTTTAATCGTTTCTTCGGTAAAAATAAAACCGATCAGATCAATTTATTGTTAAATAATATAATGGAAATGATTGGGTTAAAATCACAAAACTTTGACAAAACACAAAATAATTCAATTCACCCAATTGTTAAACAAACGGAGAATAATATCACACAACTAGAAATTGAAGGAATACAACGCCATTTTAGTGAAAGAATTTTTTCTGCAATAGAGCGTAAAGGTAAAAATCACGATAATGTATTTTTGAAGTAACTGGGGCTTATCCATCTTTATTGTGATCTCCTTTAAGTAGAGTCGATTATTTTTGTTCTTTTTCAAAGAAATTCATGATTTAAACAAAGGTTGGACACAAAAAGTTGACCGGACCGAAAAATGCCAAAAACTAGGGGTCGAAAACCGGCATACTTGAAAACAGGAACGAACTCTAATTTACAAATATCGAAAACCAACTCTAATTTATATCTTAAAATAAGTAAGTACGGCTTTATAACTCATGCCATTTTTCAATGTAAATATTACTGAAAGCCTTGTTGAGAGAAATATTTATTAGAAAATTTATAGAGAATTTAAACAAATTAATTACTTAATTAAATTTAATTTAAATAAAATTCCAGAATATTACGAATTAAATCGTTTATTAATTTCGCGTTCAGAAAAGGATTTGGCAAGTATTTCAAAGAATTTTTTAACAAAAGATAAAAAACGTTTTAAAATTATCAAACAAAATTTAAACAAAATAAAAGATAAATTATATGCCAATTCAATCGGAAAATTGCTTTATATCCCAAGTAGGGTTGCCGTTTTCGGGTCGGGCCGACGGTCGAGTCATTTTTTTTCGGGCTTGTTTTTATCGAGTCGGGCCGGTACGAGTCTTTTTCGGGCCTGTTTTTATCGAGTCGGGCCGATACGAGTCTTTTTCGGGCCTAAATTTATCGAGTCGGGCCGGTACGAGTCACTTTCGGGCCTGACTTTATCGAGTCGGGCACCGAGACATTTTCGAGTCTTTTTTTAAAAGATTTATTTAAAAATAATTAGTGGATTTGGAGGGATATCTGTGAATTAAAAGGTATATCGATGGATCTGGAGGGTAAAGGAAGGGCTGAAGAGAATTGAGATGGATATCAGTGGATTTGAGGGATTAAGGTGATTTAAATTATCGGAGGATTGGGGTGAGATATTGCTAGATTTGGTTTTATTAAAGGAGATCAGATGATTAAGGGGATCAGGATCGTATATCAGATGATTAAGGTGATATATTTTAATGGGATTTAAAAGGATTAAAGAGATTTGAAGGGATATCGGGGATTTGAAGGATAACGCAAGATATAAGTGATATCGTGCGTTAATCACCAAATCCCGTAATAAAATCCCGCTTTATGCTAAAATCCCTCGTATCCTTGTTAATGCTCTAAATCCATCATAATTTCTCCTACATCTTCTTTATCACTTCATTGACAGTAGAAAGGAAGAAATCTGCCCCATGGCCTTCCAAAAGTCTTAAACTTTCCGACTCCAGCGGAAAAAAAGATGAAATCACTGATATACCTCCAAATCACTGGTGCCAATTAAATACACACTTAATCCAAGGGCGTATCCAGGGGGCTGAGGGCGGGGCTAGAGCCCCCCCCCTCAAATAGGAGAAAGGGGGGAAAAATTAGTAGAAGAATGGTCGAGAAAGTAAATTTTTTCGCCTACACCCTCAGATTCTAAAAAATGTTAGACTTGTGGACTCAAGATTGCGACTGCGTATTTAAAAGTTAAAATTGCGGACTGCGGAAAATTGTGGACTCTCAAAACTGATTGAATTTCAAAAGTTCAAATTATGACGGGATCCCGCGGAATATATCCCATAAATCCTAGTAATCCAGCTTATTAATTAAAGCCAGTAAGTTCGAGATGTGAAGCAAAGTATGGAGCTAAAAATCCTTCATTTCAGCGCCGCAGGCAAAAATTTTGAGATATTCGGAAGGCTACGGACCAAACTTCTTCCTTTTTCAGCGCCGCAGGCGAAAATTTTTCGAATTTTGGAAGGCCATAGAGCCAGATTTCACCCA